TACAGATATACAGCACTGTGTGATGCTGTGAAGTGGTATTGCACAAGGAAAGGTGTTCTCTCTAATGACTGGGATTATATGTGGCAAAGTAGCCCCACTTATATCATCATGTACCAGATGTACATCATGCTTTCTAGAATACTTATTAATGATAGCTCTATATACTGGGTTCAAACATATACAATTAGAATCGCATAACACTTGGCTTGGGCATTTCAAAATACACTTTGCATAATATTTAACCTGACCATATTTAAGACCATTATCTCCGTCATACTGAATAGTATAGCTATTTCGACGAGTAACTGCTTTATAATCTTGACTGTGAATGATACTACCATGAATTTGGGCTCTTTTAAACTTGAATACTGTATGAATATCCCCAGACCTTATGCTTCTTCTCAAAGCTTGCACCTCAGATCTAGAGGGATTTATTTTCTCCATCCCACCAACACTACAAACACCATTTGAAATTGTTGTTTTAGAAGCAACTATCTTTCTATTTTTAGTGAGTTTTTTGTAGAAATCATAATGAAGTGAATCAGGAGGTAAACAAAATTCTAGTTCTGGTATTTTCTGTTGAATGGAAACTCCTGTGACTATTTGTTGCGGCATGCTTTGAGTCCCATGACATGGACCAAAGAGGACCTAAGCATTCAACTCTTTGAGAGAGATGCAACAATAGATGCACATTTGATGTTTCATAGCGTGCTCCATAAAGTGTTGAAATTTTGAAGCAAAAGTGCCTTAATAAACCTGATGCCTTCTTTAGTTGCATTGGTGATATAGATGACTGTAGCAGAATAAAAATAGCTTCAACAAGTAAGCAATAATGTTGGAAATATTCATTTGGCAAAATTTTCCATAGCACAGGGATGGAGTAAAAAAGAAGAAAATTTCTAAATTCAGATGCCTTCCAATGAGAAAGTTCATTAAAAATGTTTCTTGGAGCACGTGTTATTACATGGGGTGGTTTAATTCTAAGAATTTTTGTATCAATCAGCTCAAGTTGATTTCCTACATACCATGGGTTGTCCTTATTTGTTTTGTCAGTCCAAAGGATTAGCAACATTTTTGTTATACCCAAGCAAACACAATGCATATAATCTGCACCCATGCCATTGATCATATCAAACTTAGGGACATGCAAAAACCAGCTAACTCCTTTTACTCCCATCACAGCTGAAGAATTCCCTTGCTGAGATTTAGTGAATGCTTCCATAGCATGCTGCCTTGTTTCCAGCAGAGTTCGCAGCTGGTCATGTCCAGTGGAACTGTTATCAGTGTTGAAGGGATAAGCCAGCATATGGCCCTTTTGGCCTGTTTTAACAGTTGCTCCCTTTGTTAAACAAAATGGGCAACCGAAAAACCCATTGAACTGATTCAGTTCCATGAAAATACATCGCGCAGGTGAGTCAAACACTGAGCTGAGGAGAATGCCCTTCACCAAGACTTTCTTCCCTTTAACTGAAACACCAATTCCTGAAAAGAAAAAAAACACACACATGGCTTTGAATATAAAAGCTAGATTACATTTAATTTTGTGATAATGTCAATAATGTCATGATTATGTCAGCTGTATAATGAAATATCATTGAAATAATATAAACAACTGTGGTTTATGTTGCAGCTTCTAACTGAAATTTCAAAAAAAAAAAAAAAAATTCAAGAAAATTAATGTCACAAAAAACCACCCAAGGTACTAGTATATCAAATTTTAAACCACGAGGAACGGTTTCGGGAAGAATTGCGCAGGGGTTTCACAAATGCATTTAATAGCAGGCCATTATCCTGTAACAACAGGCCAACAAATAAAATAAAAAGGCTCTAGGCAGTGTGAAGAAGCGCTGCAGCGAGACCTGTGTTGGCAGTGGGGTGGGGGTGGGGGTTATGGCAGAAAGTACTCTCATGTCCCAAATAAACATACCCTCGGCCAAATCTTCAAAATCTAATAAACATTATTTGTTATAAAAGTGTTGCAATTATTGATTACCGGTAGTACTCAGTACTGATTATAATAACGTACAAAAAATAAATTTGTTGAATTGTTATGAAATGCAAGTAAAATTCAATTTAGTTTTATCGTAAGTGAATGATTTCGGTCACATGTAAACACTTGATGCAATATGATATCAGCCATATTTTTCATGCACATGGGTCCTGAAACAACTGTTTTTCTTCATCTGATAGGTCAAATCGCTAATTAACCAATCAAAATGCTGGAGGGTGCCAACATGTTTGAATTACCATAGCTCATTTAAATATGTTAATGCAGCTCAGCAACTTTATTGTGAATACAAAACGGAAGAGATTTACCGATGTTTTAGTGAGATCTTTTGGCTTTGATTTCAATGGGAAAACGGCATGATTTTTTTTTTTAAGCATGGAATTTTTTAGGGAAAAAATAAACGTCCTGGTACGTTTATTTGAGACATGAAAATAGACGGCTAATTTGGGCTTGTAAGCCGGCCATATGGCCGGTGGCTGGCACTTAATGAAACTCGTGATTAAGTCCAAAATATTGGTTTTGATCAAAAGATTTAAGATATTGATGAGGAAACCATACTAAACATCAAAGCACTCAGGCTACTGGTTTTCACGAGAAAGATGAAAATTGTTGATGGCCTCCAAACAGACACCAGATAGCAATGGAAAATGTGTCATCTTCCATGACAGTGGAGCTAAAAAAAAAAATAAAGAGTAACTTACCAGTTGTAAACAACTCTTTAAGGGACACAGCAAATGGTTGCAAAAATGTTTTACATTCTGGTTTCTTAAAACCAAACCAAATACCAGCAAATATCTTGTTACACCTTCGATACCTAAAGATAAATTAAATTCAGACTGTATTCAAGTGTCTTGTTTCACAAGCAATTATTCATAGAAAAATTAATGATAACGCACAACTCAAGCCCTGAATACCACACATGTGACCTTATGATTGAAAGAGCTTCACTTCACTCTTCTACTGTAAATGAAATACTGTAAACTATTAAATTTCCACTCCGAGCAATTTTCTTGTTCTGATGATGAGAAATTTTCACTGAAATTTGTCTTTTG